TGACACCTGATAACTGATTTTAATACAGCTACAGCCACATACCACACAAGGCGGTCAAATGAACTGAGTCTACCAATTCCAAAAACATGTTTGGTTCAAAACTCGTTGATATATAATGGAATCAGGATATACAATAAACTTCCCAATGAAATCAAAGAGACTCCTTTCATCATATTCAGAAAGAAATGTACAAAACTATTGAGTGATAAAGCCTATTATGACCTACAAGAATATTTTAACGATGCCCTGTAATTTAGAATGTGATGAAACTGCGATTGAACTGTGTGTGAAACATATATTTTTATTCGTTGTCCTAGTTCTTGTCAAGTAACCTCTGTTTATACGCTTATAATTCACATCTTATACGTCATGTTTATATTGATATTTATTTATGACATTGTGTTTGTAAGAAGAATTTATTCTTAAACAATAAACATATTATCAATCAATACTGGTTATTACTATCTCTAGTTTGGATGACAGAATTCACTCTTTTTGGCATGCATTTCACTAAAATGCTTTTATTAAAGTTCAAGGTGCAGGTACCAGACCTCGAATTCGTATCTCGAGCATATTCCAGAAGTGTTCGGTAGGATTCAGATCTGGTCTGTGCGGTGGACATTCCATATGAGAGATGTTAGCAATATTTCAGTAATTTTTGACTATCAGAGCTATCCTTTCTCACATTATGTGTTTTATTGAGAATTTTGTTGATGACACATGCATTATCTTAACGTTCTTACTGTATTATTTGAATGTTAAATTTTTAAAATATTATAGACATTTACTTCCAGCTAATAAAACAATTCCTTACAGTCGAGTAAGGCAGCTTTGCTCCAAAAAGGGGCAGATTATATAATACAGCTGAGGGCTGAAAGGAATCAGCTCAAAGAAGAAATGGATTCATTGCGTCAGCAGATAGAAACTCTGAATACATCTATAAGGTAATGACTTCACTTTGGTTGTCGTTAGTAGAGCATTGGGAGTTTTTCTCTTTTCAGTAATTGTCAATCCTTGTTACCAGCTACGGGCGCTCCAGTTTCCAGGAACAGGGACAGCAAAATGCAGGAAATGTTTGATGAGTATGTGAGAAATCGAACTATGGACAACTGGAAATTTTGGATTGTATCCTTTTATAGATATTGATATTCAGTAGGAAAATGGAACAAAAATAATTTCACAGCTGGAGATAACTGTCAAATATCCAGTGACGGCTCGTGCATTGGAGAACAGGAAAGGCTAAAGTCATAAAGACTAAATACAAACAGAAAAGCCCGCCGGAGGCGCGAAAATTTTTTGGGGTACCGCACTTATTTATAGCAAAATACGTAATATTTGCATAAATGCAAACAAAAATTGTGTATTGCCGAAAGTTATACGTATAAAACTGACCATTAACAAAACAAAGACAAGGAAAAAGGGTTGTCTTTGAGTTATTTAATACAAATGAACTCTTCTCAGTCAATAAATATTAATACTGTTCTTTTCTAATATAACAGTTTTGTTAAAAATTGCTACAAATATTTTATAAGCACAAGTACTTAATTATGGTCATCTTTGACATATCTAAAAATGATTGAAAGTTGTGATGTTCAGGTAATATAGGTAGTTTCATCAACTTTCCATGCAAAAAAAGAAACACTTTCAATATCCTCGCTTATATTTTCCTTAATAATATATGCTACACTGTCTATAAGCTCATTTTGGATGGTTTTTGAGGTGCCCAAATGAACGCTATTGTTTAAAAAAGTGCTAAATTGGGAATCATATTTTCCCTATAACATTAAAAGTTCTCTGTAATTGCCGCGATTAATCGAATCTTTGGTTTCATCGTGTCCGCGAAAAGCTAATTCTGGGGAACCCAAATAAATCATAATATCGATAAGTCTTTTTATATTCGACCGATTTTTCCTAACCTGATTATTAAAAGAAATTATGGCCTCTTTTTGAGCTGTATCTAAATACTATATCGTCAGATTTTTTAATTTCGTCCAACTTATCTATAATAAATGGAAAAAAAAACTTACCGAAAAGTGAAAACCTGAAAACCCCTTGAAATTGAAAGAAAACATTTCAGAAACACATTAAAAATATTACCAAAAAACACTGCTACAATACAATACTGCCTGTTTTATACACAAATAACAAATATTATCAAGAAACACTAAAACGATTTACCGAAATATTTTTCAATCCCAGTCCGTCACGGCATCCCGTCCGAATTATTAAATAAAAAACAAACGCAGCCGTACACTAACGGAGACCAACTGGAGGCTAGCCTCCTCTAACGCTATAATTTCTGCAACTAAACGTACAAATCAGGACATATGTCGCTGGTTGGATCGGCCTCGCGAAGCTTGTTTTTTAAAACGGTCGGAGGCTTGGCTCCCTTGCAACGTATGGCATTTATTATTTCGGGTTGATGGATTATTCATTCATGGGCGGTGCGTTTAAGGTTTGTTGATGCAGGATACAGTGTGCCGCTGCAAATATGCAAATATCTTTGACACAGCTTCGAAGTTAACTTTATTGACATGAGAAAGGTTCAGGATCGGAACAGATAGATAATCAACCTTTGGGTGTTGCTTATTTATCGTTGAAAAATATTGGAATGGTTTTTTTGGGGGAAGTGTTCCACAAGCCTCTTTAGCTTCCTACTAGCTCAGTAAAATTTTTATTTATGAATTATAGATAATAATTTTAGTCACATACCTATTTTCTTTAATAATTACACAGTTCAGCCTGATGTTCAAGCCATTGTTAAATTCGTTCAGTAGTTTCGTATCTAGTTCCAGTTTGGATGATTTATATTCTTCCACAATGCTTTGGGTGGAGCAGCATTGTACTCTTGGAGATCTCAGACCTGGTAAGTTATCAATTAGCATACGATTTTGGGAAAAACATTATGTTAATTAAATAATACATTTTTTCAGTTGTCCTCAATTCCTTGAGGTATCTATGCACGAAAACGGAAATTTTATCCGAACCCGAGAAATTACCAGAAGAAGCCCGACAAATCGTAATTCAGTCTAATCAGAGTCAGAAAAACTAGTTTTAGGATTTAGGTACTACCGACTAATACATCTTGCTCATGAACTTCCTGTGAGAAAAGTGATACTGAGTGCAAATTTTATTATTTTAATCTGTTAGGTTTGCCAATTTTATAATCGAAACTTTTATATTTTATTTTTGTACGTTACATTCTTAAAGAAAATGTCATAGCACAGTTCAATGCAAGAATGTTGTTTAAAACTTTACTAATACTGATGCGATTAAAGACAACGTTAGGTGTGAGTTTATGGATATATCTTGCTTGTATATTTGGGAATTACTGTCATAAGGTTTTTGGTAAGAGGAAAATTATACAGATTAGCCATGGCGAGCTTCGTAGTCAGACAGGAACTAAGAAAAATATCGCAGTTATATCAATATTCACCAATGTTTATTGAGTGTTGATATGTAAATTTTCAGCTAGTTTTTCAATGATTTTGCAATAATTTTTTTTTAATAATTGAGTGAAATTGGCCTATACTTAAAAATCTATTTAAAACTTGTTATAAAATGTATTTTGATGTTCACTATAAAAGGTTTACAAAACTGCGACACATGTTTTGCTATACAATAGCTTCTTCAAACAAATCTTGCTTGAGGAAGTTATTGTCAAGCGAAACACTTGTCCCGGTTTGGTAAACCTTTTATAGTGGAAATCAAAATTTCAATGGTGATTTTTGTCCTAGATACAAAATTAATGAGTCATCATTAAAAACAAAATGAATTGCTGAAATTACTGCACATTGTGAGTTTTGAATATAAATGAGAAATACGTTCATAATTTCTGTCTTACCATTTCACTTTGTCACAATTGCAACTCACCTTCAGAACTTGAAGGCATAATTGTGATAAAAAGAAAATGTGTGTAGTGGATGATATGTGATGTTTTTATTTACTTGAGAGTCCAAGAATAATGTTGAAGGGGATATTTTTGCTACTTTCTCAGCGATATAAACATTCATTGGTATTTATTTTTTGGTGGCCTGGGTATAATCAGTCAGAAATTTATTCACATTCATCGGCGCACTAACGTGTTCACTTGCAGGTTGTTGAGTATTTCTAATCCAGCAGAAAATTCTCAGAAGAAACAAAACTTTCAATAAAACTGAACATCCTGATTTAACTTTCATCAAACCCAAATGAAGAATTTTAACAACTACAAATTGGCTTATAAAGTACTGTTCCCAGGTGGAGAGGACTGGATCTTCTGGGAGGATGGATTAAAAACACCTTCCGGTTTTGGTGCAGGTGTTTTCAGTCGCAGACCCAGGACAGAGATATCAACCTGTCTAGGAATCTATGCGACTGTATTTCAAGCGGAAATTTACGCTATTCAATTGTGTGTGGAAAAATTGGAAGAATCCAACCTCATACACAAGTCAAGCGACTTTGGAAGCTCTTGGCTCCTACTGAGCAACGTCTAAATTGGTAGCATGAGGCTTCTGACTCCCTTGCAAAGGAGGGTTTTGCAAGCAGCTTCTTTGGACCAGAACCTGTCATTTGCATCGCTTCCGGCCTTGCCAAACAACACCTGGATGTCAATAATATTTATGGATTTCTGGCAGAATCTTTCAGGATTGGCTCACTCCCAGGCATTCATTCACCCTTGAAGCTTGATACCAAATAGTTGTTGGACTACAGTAGGGATGAACTACGATGTCTAACAGGTCTTCTTACAGGTCACTGTCATTTGAATCATCACATGCAGAGACTCGGACTGTTGGAAGACAGTGTGTGTCGCCTCTGTTTGGAAAATGATGGAACAGAAGAGCACATACTTTGGGCCTACCCCGCTGGGTACCGAATATGGTTTTTAGAGTTCGGCAGAGCCATACTCTTACTCTCACACATGTTGCTGCTATACAATAGCTTCCTCAAACAGGACTGCTATAAGATAGCAGCTGCTATTGTATAGCAGATATGTAATAACAGCTGTTATTGTGTATCAGTCCTGTTTGAGGAATCTATTGTATACCAAAACACATATCATAAGTTCTCCATTACACTTTTAATTTTTATCATATTGTGGAAGGTGAAAATTCCCAGAAAAGCTTGTTGAAAATCTGCAAAAATGACTTTTGTTCAGTATTTGAGATGAAAGAAAAATAAAAAAAACAAATTAATAACTTTTGAGCTGATTCAAATGAGAATAAATATGTACATGTACTAGTTCTACTAGGGATATAAATACAAACTTTTCAAAATATAGGTATCTAAAGAAGAGTAGCTAAAATATAATGAAACAATTTTATATCGATGAGTTGAGCAGGGATGAGTTTTATCCCAAGTTAGAAAAAAAAGCAATTAAGAATGAATTCTTTGAAAACCACTCATGTGTATGTATGTGTTCTGTGTAATTTGTTTTAAATTAAGCTAAAAATATTCATGTAACAAATAACTGTTTTGTGAATATTGGGATGAACAGAGTAATTGGTATTAGAGGAAGTCTTAATAATCGTAACAATTTTGATAGATCTGAGGCCAATGTTTTTTATTATTGCGAAATACTTTGTTCAATTTTGTAGAGAATAGCAACTTCATATGCATCAACTGACACCTGATGTTTGAGACAATCATTTTAGGTAGGTGGTAAGTTACCAAAATAACAAGAATGTAATGAGGATCCCAGAAAATCGTTAAGGAACTACCAGTGATGAATTTTCCAAGTTACAATTTATATAACTCTAAAATGAATTCAACTCTACATCAGAAATTCTTTCTGGTAATTTTATACATCTGTTCACATCTCTCTAGAATGATTTTGTTTCAAATTTTTCGTTTTTATTAACCTTAAATATTCAGCCTCTTTTTTCTGCTCCCTTAAATCTAGGGCTTTATTTAGATTGTTTGAAGACAATATCACAAAAGGCAATAGTAGTTCTAAACACTTCCAAATTATTCAATAAAGTCAAAAATTATATATATTTCATAATGATTCTTCGTCTGATTACCTAAATTTGTTTGTTTTGTAAGAAATTGATACTAAAATGACTAATGAAGTACAATTACTTTTTAATGAATTTATGTTCTGTGTAAAATGTATATTTTAGTATAATTTTTGTAGTGCCTTAATTATGAATGTGATAATTTTAAGGTATATTGAACATGAAATGTTTCATAGAGGGTACTTACATATTAGTTTTATAGTAAAAATGTTATATTTCAAAGTTAAATGTTATGTTTATTTTTATGTAAATTCGATTTGAATACACCTTATTTGTTAAAAAATTCTGTCATTTATTTTCCTTTAGGTGAAGTAATAACATGTTGAGATATGAAAATGATGTGCCAACTAAAATAATTGGAAATTATTCAGATTGTCGACTAAGATACAAACAAATTTTAGATTTGTTTAATGATATTTTTGTATGTATTCATGTTCGTATTTAGTTATGTTTTTGTTTTTTTTCCTGCTATAAATATTATGTTTCTTGGGAAAATAAATCGCCACTATAGAAAATTTCTTCAAAAGGTAGATAGCGGATCACAACAATATAATAATAATAATAAAGAATAGACGAGGTCTACTCAAAAAATAAAGTGAATGTTCACATTTCGCAGGCTACATACATTTGGTCAACGAGTTTGTTAATTTTTTATGTTGGTACATTCGTCTCGAGTATATGTTCACAGTTTCAACAGTTGAGCATGTTTAGTTTGCTGGTGGAAAGCATTAAAATTAGAAGTGTTTGTGAATCAAAGAATTTGCATCAAATTTTGTGTAAAAAATTGAATTAAGTGCTCAAAAACACTTGAATTGTTAACAGTGACATACGGTGATTGTGCCCTGAGTCAGAAAAATGTTTACAAGTGGTACAAGCTTGTGACAGAAGGTCCAGAAGATGTGAATGACGACGCTCGCTCTGAATGCCCCAGCACATCAATAACTGATGAAAATGTTGAGAAAGTGAAGAGAATTGTTATGGACAATCGTCGAATCACTATTAGGGAAGTTGCTGAGCAAATTAATGCCCATTTCGTCATTCCCAAGGCTTATTCCGATAATAAGATGATTAATGTAATAAAACATAACACAACTTCCATTGAAATATATGATTGCTTTTTAAATTTGGTTTACTGTGAGCCATGTGGTTCTGATTCAGTTTTCTTTAAAGAAATGAAAATTCGGGGATATATAAAATAAGCTGGAGGACTGCGACAAAAAATATATCGGTCAAATTAGGCGAGCCATTGAAACTGTATACAAAGAACACGTAGCATATATTCAATTTTGAACACCAGAAAAATCTAGTGCCGCTGAATACTACTTAGAGAACGGCTATAGAACGAAGAAAAACTGTCTGGAATTGTTGAATGACTAGATTTTTGGATGCTTTTGAAAGACTGGAAATGGCAAAGCGTTGCATGAGAACTATGAACAGTGACAAAGGTACCATTTTAAACAGGTCATTGCACTCCATTTTATGAATCACTCTGTTAAAATTGATTGAAACTTTTTCAAGAAGTTTTCCCTAAATTTTCTACCTGAAATCATTGATTTGATGTGTATCGCAAAATGTACCATGTTATATCTAAATAGAGACCATTTTAGATTTAGGAATCAACTTTCTTCATCCTCTGAAGACACCAACTTGATTGGCGAAACGTGTGTCGAGAAGAGTGTTGCAGTTCAGTCTTTGTGTGAAATATTGTTTTTTTTTCAATAATAGCGAACCTCTTGAGCCCATATATTTTAAGAGAAGCAATAAGTCTTTGGTAATGCCACTTTTGGATTTATATTCGAATAATACTAATAATGGTAGCAAGAAGTGAAACTGAAATGTGATAATTTATTATGAGTGTTGTGCTACTGATTTCTGAATACATTAAAAAAAGTTTTGTGAATTTGTAACATTTCTTCTTTTTGTTGAGATTACTCGGTTTAAACAGAGGTCTGATTATACACAAAAGGAAAAGACATAATCGACACCCAAACAAGTGATATTTGTGAAGAAATATTTCAAGCTGGCACTATATTTTTGATGTCCTGACTTGGATAATGTATTTGATCTATGACATAAGTAGCAATCATTGAAACATTTCCCACCAAGCGATGTACAGTTTACAATCTGCCATAATGAATTCATGGCAGAAGAAACTTGGAAATCCCATAAAAATATAAAGAAATTAGGAAAGTTACTCACGATTACAGCCTCTGTCGTTATGCATTAGAAAAAAACAAACTACAACTGGTAACAACTTAATTTCCAGTACTTTTGAAAATATAAACTTTGAGCAACAGACAGCATACAAAATCAGTACTTGGAATAACACCATCAGAAATTCAACAAGACATATCTGAACACTACTTGTTTTTTGAGTTTTCCACAATAGTTCTACTGACAGATTCTATCACCTGATTTGTAGCAGTACTACTCTTTGCTGCAAAATTCAGATATGTACGAAGATCATTCATTAAACTTCTGAGACAAGAGCATACACTGGCTGCAATCTCGCTTGGAGTTTCGTATTCGTTGGGTACTATTCCTTCGACGCTGGACTCGAAGTAAGAAAACAGAGGAAACCACACTCTCGTTCGAGTCGAGTCCCTCTGCATGAGCGCCTGATTGTTGGAAAGGGTATGATAGTAGAGAAACAAACGACTGCTGATGTAGAAAGCTACGAAGACGTCTATCGAGTAGTGTTCATGTGCTGCAAGAATGAAGAATATTCCGAACATGTTCATCATCCAAGAGAGCGTATGTAAGTAATAGATATGTCTAGGAGTATCTGAAACAGAAATTTGTGTTTTACAAATAATTAATACACTTGATTTTCCAAAGAATTTATCTGGTTGACAAAATTTACATGAGTAAAGAGGAACACAATGAAATTAATAGAATATAATAGAACAGGTTTAATTTTCAAAAATATAAAAACACAATAACAGACACAGTCATCAACATAACACAGTTTGAAGAAAACAATGTCAACAAAAGGTAGTACTTCAACGAATATAAAATTATTCATACAATTAAAATCTTTTACATTTGAGTTGAGTAGCAATAAAATAAAAAATAGCAATTCCAATGTCTTAGAATTCTTCAATAAATCTTTTTACTGAAAATAAGATCCTTAATGAAATCTATATATTCCAATCCAATATTATGGATTGTAATATTTTTAATTATTCAGTTAACCATAAAATTTTACCAGATATTTCATATAACTCGGGAGTAAGAGGTCTTACCAATTATTTCAAAATTATTTTCAAAATAGAAATCAATATGTAGTGATGAATAATGGTAATTTTTTTTAAACAATTGCAACTTTTGGTGTCCCACAAGGTTCGGTTTCGGCCCCAATTTTCTGTTTGCTCTATGTTGATAATAATAAAAATCTAGGTTTGATGGATGATAAGTTTTCATTTGCAGATCATCTTGCACTATTTTATTTAGAAAAAATTGTGAATTCACTAAAAATAATTATAAATGATGACACAAGCAAAAAAATATGAATAATATAAAACGGAACCAAGCTGAAAAACATAAATATTTACTGCTTGTCAAATCTAGGAAACGACTTCAAAGTCTCAGCTTAGGACCTCCCCTAAGATGGGTGATCGATAGGAGACTGTGTGAGAGACAGAAATGGAATTCTCAAGTCTCTTTCTAGTTTTGACAAGCTATGGGTCTAATAATTGATAAAGATTTGAATTTAGAAAGTCTTATATGTAAATGAAATTAAAGAATTGATTGTACCTCTGGTGGAAGCAATCAGAAGAATACATTTTTTAGATACTCGTACACAAATTCTAATTTATATGGCTCATATTCTCTCTCAAATAAGATATCCCATTATAATTTGGTCATCCTGCACTAAAAGGCAAACAAATAATATAATTTATCTTTTGATGAATAAAGCTATAAAGGTAATATTTAGTAAACAATGAGATACTCCACCTTTGGAATTATACAAAATGACTAATAATATGACTTTGAATTGTTTAATTCTCTTTGAAAAAGCTAAATTCATATATAGATTGTCTAAAAATATCCTGAAAAGTACTATTCAATTATTGAAAAATTGTAAATTGCATGATTATGGTACAAAAAGTTCCAGTAATTTGGATCTTGATGTTCATATTTTTCCAAAAACATAAAAAAAAAATTCAGTTCAATGATAATCATGAAATTAAAACTATTTTATGTATTTTATGCATTTCAAAGTTATGTATATGTATATATCAGTCATAGTTGGTATATTATTTGTTTTAAACTTGCCCCTACTTGACTCTCTGAAGGATGCTACCCCCCCCCAGAATATTATACCGAATGGCATCAAAGGATGGAAATTAGGGAAATTGTTCACTTCATTCCATTGTCTATATTGGTTTTCGTAACTCTAAATGAATACATTTTTGATAATTTATTGCAATTTTTTCATCCGCAAAATTCACTAAATGAATTTTATCCTAGCCATTTATACTGCTGTCTTGTATTTATTCTGTGACATTTTTTGATCACTTTTTGTTTGCGGTATGAAATAAACGACTTTTCAACAAGTGAACACTTGGGAGAATAAAGCAAATTTATTAAAATCATTGATATGTTCCATAGGGTTGACATGGATCAATTATATTTCAATTTTGTTTGACTTTATTTTCCTCTTTCAATTTTTAGTCATGTTATCATGTTCGATGACAAGTCTGACATTTTTTATTTATGAAATACTGGAGTGAAAAAGTTTTTTTATTAAAAGCTAGTGGGGTTGATTTTACCTTTTGATTGTTTGTAACATAATACAAAAAAAGGAAGAGTTGGATTGCAGAAAATGTCAGAATTGCCTCCAACTTGATATCATTTTTATAAATTTACCATTGATAAATCAGTTAACAAAACTATTTCCATATATTAACTGCCACTAGTCTTTTCTCTCTCTACATATATCTATTCATAACAGAATTTAGTGATACTTACATTCTGTGATGAAAAAATTGAACATGGTTAATGCAACTGTATGTCCGCTAAACATGTAATCTCCGCAAGTGCGAACGCCTTGAATGGACATGCCAGCTCCTCTCCAAATTACATAAGCCTGCGAAAACTTTTTTGCCAAATCAGCAAAAGCTGAGTTTCCTTGCGTAGGATAATTTCTAGGGTGGCACTGGAGATGAGTGCCAGGAACACTTAGTGATGTAATGAGCATTGTAACACATCGTAAGAGAAAGACAGTACCAGAGAGAGCAAAGAATCGTCTGAGTAGAATAAATCTGAAAAACATTCAATTCGATTATACAAATAATGATAGTTATATAACAAATTATTTTCAGATGCTCACCTGTGTTTATGGAAGAGAAGTACTATTAGCCACATTGTAAACATGAAAGTACCAGTGACTTCACACATATCAAAAGCCCATGCTATGTGTGGTACATTGTCTAAAAAAATATCAGGCAGTGGGGGATACTTTTTCATATCTGGTACTCTATCGTGTACAATGACCATAACAAAAGCTGTTATCCACGTAACTCCTACAACATATAAAAAACTAAGAAATGCTTTCCTCTTTTCTGCAGGATACCGCGGTCTGCCATCTTCCGAAATAGGAGGCGAAATTCTTTCCGATTCACAGATTTCACTCTCCACTTTGCTGTATTGGGCATGCGAGGTGTATAAATTTGCACTTTGAGTGTCTATGATTCCAAGTTCTGCAAGAGTATTCTGATTTTCTCTTTGTAATATTTTGCACAGTATATAAAGACATTTTCTGTCTTTCAAATTGAGTTTGCAGATAGGTTCTGTTGTGAAATCACTCTCGTTTAAAACAAGCAAACATTTACCATCCAATCTATTATCATCACAAAGAATTTTTATCGAGTTTTCATCAAAACCTTCTTTTCTTAAACACACTTTTGTGTCTTCTGTCGTCCAGCTCATTACCAACGATGTTTCAGGAGCCATACTTGAACAATGCAGTTTTGTTTCGACTTAGGGCGAAAGTTCACTGATTACACATATTAGTCACAAAGAATCAAGACTTTCCACATAGTTCATGTAAACAATTATCAGATACAAAGTGAGGTTTCATGTATTAACTGTTAACCTATCATTTTTCTTCTTCTTTTTGTTTTGTTTGAAAATTCCTTTGTGGCAACCGCGTAGTGGAAATAAAATCGCGAAGTGAGATAACAACAAAGTTTGTATAAGAACATATGCTGTCGCGGCCGGATCGTGACCAAAGAGAACAAAATCTGATCTGGCAGGCCGTGGTCGAATGGAACTTGAATACCAAACGTTTTGCCTGCTACTCGGCATGCATCATCAGTGAATTGCGCGTTGACTGCATGGCCAAGTCTCTGCAACGACTGATTGACTCAGTCTGAATAAGCTGATGACACTGGAGTGGGAACTTGTTCAGTAAAAGACCTACTTCAAAGCTGCTGAGATCACTTCATTTCTGATGCAACCCATATAAGACGAAGCAAGGAATCAAATCATCTAAAGGAACAATTCAGGAGTCTTCAATAAAATTGAAGACCTTGGGTTATCAAAGCACTTGACTATCGCTTTCCTCAGGTCGAGTGGGCTAGAGAAAAAACTAAGAGGTTCATCATAGACTGCCAGGATGGTGTTTCTGACACATAGTCTACCATAACCGCGTGATGGGTACAGAGGTAGAAAGTATACAGCATAAGCGGTCTCATCCCACTGACGTTACATAATGTGACTCTACTGAGTAAAAGTATATTTTATCATCTTTGTCATTCCTAATTTTATTATTGAAACATGCACCGGCGTTGCTTTTTGCTACGAGAGGTGCCGAACTGAAAGCCTCAGACAGATTCAAGCTGAAAAGTCTGATGTGGTCCTCATCGATCATCAATATAGAACGATATTCGTCATGGAGTTTTTCGCTCTAGGTGAAGCGAATATCTAAGAGAGATTGAGAAATAGATGAAGTATAAGAATGACGCCTTTCACTGCCAAAACAAAATGACAGAAATCTCAGCCAGACAAATGCAGGATGTGCTTCTTGGTTCACTGCGTCTTTTCAGGGCACACGATTCTCAAACCAATTTCAGGTACAAAGACAATAACAAATTATCTTCATTTATAACTGGCGCAGTTTAGCTTCCACTACTCTTACACTTGAATAACTCTTCCTGTGGATAGTAATATAAACAATTCCCATCACCAGTTTTCTTGATTTGTGTAAAATTGTTTTCATCTATAATATTCATATGAGAGTTGTAGAAGTTAATGAATAAAAAGTTGAGCCTCACGAGATATCTTTGTTCAAGTAAAAAAACATAGATTATTGGCTCAGACTGAGCAATATAAGTTATTCAAAAAGCCTGAAGCAATAATAGCGGAAGGTACGAAATATTCACTAACAACAACAAATAACTATCAAGCGGTGAATTGGCTTAGCGGTAGTGCGCTTGACTCATAATTGAAAGGTCGCAAATACGATCCCAATCTCAACCAGATATTATTCTCAAGAGAATTCATCGGACTGCGAATAGTTATGCTGCTTCCTTGTGGCTCTGGAAATTATTAACATTGACTATTCAGAACACGTAGCTAATGACAAAGTAGTCGATGCCCTTGACACCCAATAAAACAAAAAACAACTTTCAGTTGTGGGAGCATAAAATCAATCTATTTTTATTAAAATAGGAACTGTGGAATGTAGTTTCAAAAGAAAAGCAAACCAACATTCAAGAAGAGGACCGAAAAAGGCAAGATTATAAAGCTGGAGATGCTCACCCACCCCCGCACAGAAAACAAAAATAATATAACAATTTAAAAACGAATGATGAACAAACAAAACAAAACGAACAATTTCCTTTGATGAAATTGGTAGATGATTTTCATTATGACCGTGGTTTGCAAGATACTCTTTTATGATAGTTGACACACAACAACAATACTATGAATGCGAAAAGTACATTACTCGTCGCCCATTTTACATGTATTCCGAAATGGATTGAGGGATGACTCTGTATGTACTTGTACCTAAATGAGATTAGTAAAACATACAATTTCTGAATGACCACATTGAATTTCGTGTATGTATATTCTGAACTTCTTGAAAATATGCGCACTTCGGACTTCAACTATAACAGTGCTGATAAATCTCTATAAAAACAATATCGAAATGGAATGAAACTCCGATATAATTTTCTCAAGGAATTAAAAGTACAAAGACAAAAAACGAAATAAAACAAATAATACTAAAAATGTTTCTGTGATTATCATCATTTCGCACCTGGAACTTTTACTATTTATTATATACATATCGGATTTGTGATGATGCTCATTCGATGCTCGATGAGAAGAGTTTTTACCAAAAGCACAACCGAAAAATAACAGAATCCTTCAGTGAGTATGAAAATAACAATGAAACTTGACAAAGTCTTAATAGAAGAAATAAGTTGTATAATTCAAACTTTGGCAAGAGCAAATCAGATGACCTTTGGTCAAAACTGAAGGATAGGAAATTATTGTATGTTTCTGAAGATCATGGATAATGACTCACGAGTCGATCCCAAAAAATCCAAATGAGAAGAAGAAATTTACAGTTAACGTCAAAACATAGACGTTATGTACATTAATGTCTATGCGTCAAAAGAAGTTATTCAGTTTTTGAATTGATTATTGATATCAACAATAAATAAAATAGAAGGATTATTGATCGTCCTTCAACTCTTCATATTGAATATTTAAAAATGTCTCGGTCCACAACAAGATTTGATACTAAGAAAGTGGTGTGTATATTGGCTATAGTGGTTTCCTAAATTTTCAGGGCCCCCTGATTCTGGCTTGATTTTTTTTGCAGAACTCTGAGCTTGTGACACTGACCTACGGAGCGTTGGTGGCACAAATGATCAAGGATCTAGATAATACTGATGATGTCAGTAAACAAATTGAAAGACTAGGATATAATATGGGTATCAGACTCATAGAAGACTTTCTGGCAAAAACTGGATCTGGCAGATGCTTAGATTTGAAAGAAACTGCAGATAAAATCCAGACAGCATTCAAAATGTACTTAGGAGTACAGCCAAATGTAACCAATTGGAGTTCGTCTGGAGATGAGTTTTCCTTCATGTTAGATTCCAATCCTCTAACAGAATTAGTTGAGCTACCTGATGATCTCAAGGGGCTGAAATATTGTAATATCATTTGTGGGGCCATAAGAGGGGCATTAGAAATGGTCCAGCTCGATGTTCAAAGTTGGATAGTGCAAGTAGGTGGATTGTTCTCATTGAGTTCTACTGTGCTTTAGTTAAGGTTGAAGTCTAATTCATCAGAATAACAATCAGTAGAGATTTTTCAAAGCTATTTGTCCAGTAAAAAACCTTCATTTCTTATAATTTCAAAAGTATGAAAAATTTATTTTGGTTTGACAAATTTTATTGCATTTTAAGGATCAACTAAAAGGGGATCAAAGCACAGAAGTTCGAGTAAAATTCATTAGAAGACTAGAAGATGCAATGCCAGCAGGAGAAGACTAATTTTGTAACATCAGTAAAGTATTTATTGCATGAGACATATTTATATCTGAGGTATGAATATTGTGATATTCCATTTTTGTTTCACCTATTTTTATTCAGCTGTTTATAAGCCTACAAATTATTGAAATATATACATGTTTTGGTGTAACTGTGTTCTTTTTTGATTCTTCAAGAGGAAGATTATATATACTTCCTCTTGAAGAAGATTGCTTGGTGATTGAAACACGTGTAGAAGTGTTGAAAATAATGGTTTGTTGTTGGAACTAAACTCCAGTAATATTCAACTTTCTATTATTGTTACTTGATTTTTCAAAAAAAGTTAGCTTTTGTACTAAAATCAAACAATATCAAATTTACGAGCCTTTATTTACGCTAATATCTACAATTATCGGTCGCTCTGAATATAAAATATCCATTTAATGAACTTCAAATCTTCATCTTCACATGTCACTACCAATCTGCCCGTAATCGGACATTTTGAGTAACCTTCAAGTTGCTTTGTCGATGGTAAGCTGACGATGATTTTTGAATATTTCCTAGCTTTGATGACATCTGAAGTTGATTTCAGTACAAACGAAGTGGAATCAATCGAAAATTCGAACTTCTTTTGATCGGTAAATGGGTTGAAAAATGGTATTTGAGCTATTCCTCCAGGTTTCACTGAAAAAGGTCCTTTTGGAGTGGGGAGTACACATTCGCCAATCAGAGGATATCTGGAAATACAAATAGCAACTGAATTTTTTATAGAAAAAACTAATTTTTCAACTGCTGTCTAAATTTAATATAACTTTATTATAATATAACTTTCTCAAGAAACATTGGTGTTCTTAATAGAAAAAAAATTCAAATTCAGAATATATCAACATGTTTAAAATATGTTTTTTGAAATGTTTTTTCCGTTAACCAGCTATGGCACCCCTACGAACGACAACCCTCAGAAGTCGAAACTTGTGCGAGCTAAGGACTAACGAGGTCTTACCTTTTAAAGTGTGATTTCTAACACAGGTTGGACGATGGAAAGTGAAAATCGAGCGTTCAGCCTGGGGCTTGAACCATCGACTCACACATCGGCCGACTGACTGAGTTAACAAAGCACCAACGTCGAACCGCCCGGCTACCGACCGTTGCAAAGATAATTTATAGAATTTGAAAAAGTATCTACTATTCATGTAATAAATATTTTTCAACAAGAAATTTGAATTTTTGGAATTAGTTTATGTTTATCTGGCAGCTCAGTTGAGCAGGCAGGCTTTCGGCCAAAATTATATGTTGTGCTGACCAGGTCCTGTCACTTATCACCTATATCGAAGGGGGATTCCCACGAAAACTCAAAACCTCTCAGCTGCATTCATTGACCTCTCGGTAGCCCATGACACCGGCACCGTATGGAATGCTCTGCAAGTCAGAAAATTTCCCTGCAAGCGACATCAGCTCACCAAAGAAACTTAACAAGGGCTTGCCACAGGGATCAGTGCTCGCTCCGCTCCTCTTCAGTTTATATATAGTGGATATGCCGGAAACAAGGTCAAATGAGTTCGGTTACGCAGACAACTGGGTGCTTGCAACGATATGTAACTCAATCAAACTATCTGAGGAAATCCTAACAGCGAACCTGCAGACAATGGGCAAATACTTCCGCAATTGGAGACTCTAGCCAAATGCCTCCAAAACATCAAAGGTTAACTGCTTCCACCTCAATAACAAATAAGCCAGAAAAGAGCTTCACATACGATTTGATGGTACCAAACTAACCCACAACAAAACACCAAAATACCTGAGAGAGACTCTTGATAGAACACTATCATTTAAAGAGCACCTAACTAAAACCGCCAAGAAGCTGAAAACCAGGAACAATATAATCTATAAGCTATGTGGTTCCCATTGGGGAGCATCGGCTTCTACGCTGCGCTGCTCTACTCTGGGACTTGTCTTCTCGACAACTGAATACTCTTTCCCAGTTTGGCTCACTAGTCCGCACGCAAAGAAGGTGGACGTCCAACTTAATAATACCATGAGGATGATCGCTGGTGTTTTTAAGTCGACCCCCACTCAGTGGCTCCCAGTACTAATCCATATCCAACCCCCAAAGCTGCGACGGATAAACGTCCTTACACGAGAGAGTTCAAAGAGATCATGGAAAATAGAAATCTGCCAATACATCAAGACATTGAGAACGGTAATCACAATCGTCTTCGCTCCCAAAATCCACAGACTAAAACGGCAAGTGCAGCAATGCAAGAGTAGTTCAACCTGACCGATTCATTGACCCAAGAATGGACAACTCAACAAGGCAATGATATGCCCTGTATTACCCACGCAGAACCACGCAGAACCTGGTCCCCACTTAACAGAAACAGAACGCAAAATGGCAGATGCGCATACCTCCTGCACAAATGGGGCAAACAACCATCACCATACTACGACTGGCGGATAATATCAAACGATTAAACATATCACGGAGGAATATCCCACAATTAAGATCCTACAACGGTATATAGACCTGAAGACTTTCTGCTGACAACTGCCGGGTCGATAAATTATATTGACCGACTTGATATTTGTTTGTGAAATCCTTGAGTTTGTTTTATTAGCTTGTATGTGTAAGTTAGCTTTCAAGTTTACTGTGTCAGAATTGCCATATGATAAATAAAATAAATACCATCATAGTTCATTTTTGGTCACTTTAAGTTATTCAATTCGAATAACTTTGTATCTTCTGTATTTTTGTATCAATATAAACATGAGTCAAAAATAAAAATATTAAAACTTACATATATTCTCCGGTAATTGATGAATTGAATACTGCTTTACTTTCCACAATACCCAGCTCGTTTGGTTCAAATTTAATAGTGAGTTTTTCAGTTTCTCCCACCGAAAACGATGGAGATTTTTCAGTTGAGAATACAGCATGATCAAACTGAAAATAATAAATGATCTGTGACAAACTGTATCTCAATTAATGAAAAAAAAAACCGAAGCATTGATGATTGGTTTTTTATTACACGCTTTGTACTAGCTTCACCTGTATGTATGTATGGTTGTTTTTTGTTTGTAACTCTCCTTTTCATTTCATATCGGGATCTGTATTTGACAGAATTATCGACATTATTGCTTGATCTATTCGCGGGCAGATGGCGCTGTATGTAACCTCCTTTTCTTTAACTTACTATTTCACTTACCATCGATGATAACTCGAAAGGAGAGGAGAACGTATTTTTTAGGAAAACATTGTTATATCCTCTATCACCGAGTTCTGCTCTGAATCTGATGACTTTTTCCAGAGGTGGTGGAGTTCCAGTCAAATACAAAACGTACGTGAATACCCCCAATTCTTCGCATTTTGCTTCGATATTCGTATAAACTTCTCCAGATGTCAGTGGACAATAGGTAACAACTAGATCGTGCTAAATGAAAAAAATGTTTTATTAATCACACAAAATTACTCTCATTCAGTCTTTGATACATTTTGAACGACAGTATTGTTTACTGAAAGCATGGATTTGATGTGAAAAAATAAAATAAAAAATTGGAAAGAAGTTGGCCCAAATGAAGACGTTCAAAAATTACTCTTATGAATAATAAATCCAAAAACAATGACTGCTCCCAAAAGCCAGATCTGCAACACTCTTCTTGACGCGACTTTCATCACCCAAGTTGTCGTCATCAGAATATGAACTTGATCTTGAAGACTAGACTCAGACCAATTCATCTCCTGATGATGCCATCTTGGTTTGTGAAATGGGCGCCGAAAAGAATGTTGTAGTTCTGGTGTGTGTGGGAGCAATGTGCTTGCTTTGGACCATGTATAATATAATATTTCAAATTTTTTTATTAATTCAAATTTTCCGTACGAATAACAAGATAAGTAATGATAACAGTTTACAAATAACTTTCTTCGAAAATTTCTACATCCGTACCTTCGAAGGATAAACTTTAATTACATATTCAATTATTACTATTTTCGTGTTATTCTGAAAACTCGGGGTTCCGCAAAGATTTTCAATTCGAAAGTGAAAATTTTACTCTGCCTTGTTCAAACGTGGATTTATTACTATCGATGAAATTTTTCGTACCTTATTTTATTTCATGTCTTCCAAAGAACTATAAATACAAGTATTCCACATAAAAAATATACACTTATTTATTTGCCTGCTAATAATCTATAGCAGCTTCCCCCACCGATGAAAAAGTATATATTATTAACATTTTCTTCTTCTTATCATCTAAGCTTTGCAACCTAATAGGTCTCTATGACGCTCGAGTAAATCCCCATTTTGCATCGTGGTCTCCCCTGTTATAAAGATGGTTTTTGCGTTGTGTTATGATATTGTGTTGTGTTTGTTATGTTATAATACTTTCAGTTATAGTCCCTCATAATTATAAGCATTTGGAACAACAACACAAGTTTATAATGAACACGTTTATACAAACATATAAAATCTGTTGTTATAACAATTGTCTGGATAGTTTTTACATATATCAGGCAAAACGACTCCTTTATAAAACATGTCTTTAAATTACAGCTTGGCAAATTTATGAATATTGGATGCACAGTATATAAGCCGGCGGAATGGGCGGGAGCTCATTAACATCGAGGAACTCGTGTAGTGAACATCGTTTTAGTACAGAAAGTGGGGATATTTTTATTTGTGGTGAAGTGTTAGTTATTTGCTGTCTTTGAAAATGCCTTCAAACAATAAACAGAAAAATAAGGTTCTCGGTGGACAAACCAGAGAAATTGTGAACAACATATCAAGATTCATGCAAGCAGAAGCATCGGCAGAAGAATCATAATTCTTCATGCAAGCAGAGAAGAATCATAATCAATATTGTATTTTGAATTTGAAGCTTAAAGAACTACAGCTACATGGGTTTGCGTGCGAACTATACGAAAAACAAATCAGAGATGATAAAAATAGAAAAATGGTGAGAAAAAACATTTTCAACTCCAAATAAAAAGATATTATGTATCAAAAATTTTAAAATTGTGATAGATGTTCCCCATTATCTTTGTTATGCTGTTAATTTTATTTGCATTGTCTTGATTAATTGTGTGAAATGTGTAAAATTCGATTTAAAAAAGTACGAATTTAATGTAAACAGTACAGACAAACGATATTTCAGAACGAAAACAAACTTTTATAAACATTTTTCATACTTACAGTAGTATACGGCTCAACTCGTACTATTTTTTCATACTGTAACTCTGATAAACCAGCAGCTATACTGAACGTAACAGGTATATTAATGGGGTTTTTCAATTTAATGGTGGTTCTTGCCTCTTCTCTCACCCGACTGTTTAAACTGATCGTCTCTAGGGGCCCACTTGGTAATACTTTGACGGATATTTCATAGAACATATACTCTCGCGTCTCAATATTCGTAAAAACAACCTGAAAATGATAACAAAAGATAGATAGGTCGAAATAATTACAGCAGTCTTTCGGACTTTGTAGCCAATTTTTGTGAATTTCGTTTTTAAAAGGTACTTTTTTCCAGTGGCGTACTTATATAGGGACATTAGATAATTTAGAAAATGTAGTTCTTTATGCTATTATATACATGCAGCCTCCTTCGAAAACATAATTCGAATTTAGCCACCATTGGAAAACCACTTTCAATATCCCTTTATATGTGATGTTTTCAGCTCATGAATTCAAAATATAAGGAAGGTCATTTAATAATAATAATCTTTATTTAAATACGCGTCCTAATTTACATACATAGTTTATGATTATTTTATATATAATCTGGATATATATGAATATTTTTATAATCTGGAGCAATTTAAAGCAATAAGTACTAGATAACCATAAAAAACCCTATTATAATTTTGCTTTCAAGTTTTCCATCCAAAATTTGCTTGGAGAGTACATTGATTGACTCTTGCTGGAAGATTCAAATATCCCAAAAAACATAATATGTAATTTTTTCTTGTGGTATGGTCGTTGATTTCGTTTTGAAAAATAATAAACTGATTGAAGTAAGGAGGTCCTAACCAAGACAGCATTTTATATTAAATATTAAAATCGTGGAGAATTCAAACAGCCTATCCTTGACAGAAAGATAGTCCAGTACCTACTAACTGACAATGGGGATATATCTGTTACACTTCAAAAGCAATCTATTCTGCAACTTCTGCAATGAATATATGTAATCTCCATCAAGCAAAAATAATAGGCTAATACAGGCTGATACTGTATATCTTTTTTTGAACCAATTGGAATGGCCAATGGGATCGCCACTTTCACCGGTTATAGCCAACAAATATTTAGAGTGGTCATTGACGAAGCCCACAAGAAGCCCCCAGAATGGTTGAGATACGTTGACGACACCTTCATAATATGGGTGACGTTTATTCGCTGTTTTTATTTTTTTTTTTAGTTTTTGTAGTTGGTTATTGTTGTTTGTTTTATTATTAGGTGATTAGAAAATGGGAGATGTAAAAAAGACATTATTAAAGAAGTCACGAAATGTTTGCTGCTTCAGTTATTGCAAAAACAAGGCCTATAATAATTGTAGTGAAAAATTTTATAGATTTCCGAAAGATCCCAATTTATTTTACAGTCGTTCTGATTATATCATTAGTTTCGAAGATACTGGTAACAACAAAAAATGAAGCAGGCAAAAGTACCAACCACTTTAATGGTAAGAGGTTTATTTTCAAATTGAAAGCAACCATTAGCCTATCATTTTTATAATTCGACCTGTCCTGGTAAAAATTTAAAGGAAGTAATTTTTTATGAAATTACAAAATTAAAATAGATTGGTCTTAATGTTATTGTTCTTATCTCAGATAAGGCATCTAATAACATCCAATTAAAAAATATCTTGAATATGGGAAAGAAAGTTTTTGGCTTTCTACTACTCCATCTTGATACAAAAAAAGGGGATGAGGGAATCTTCCAAAGAAAGGAAGGAAGTAATCAATTTGAAAATAAGTAAGTCTATACATGGATGTGTAGATCATGCAAAGAAGTAACTTTCAGATACAAACTGAAAGAAAGTCCTCCTGAAACAGCTACTTTCATATAAACAAGATGGAGTAGTAGAAAGCCAAAAACTTTCTTTCCCAAAAATTAATCACTCCTAAAAATATAACCCCTTCAATTCAAATCTTGAATATTTTTCCCGATAATCCAATTTTTTATGTAAATGACTAACACATTTTTTTATGTTCGATATATCTCATCTTATTAATAAATTGATGGATGTAGCCGTTACTACGTGGTAGGAAATCATAATGCAGTAACGTTAGTTACAAATAAAAGTGGTAAAAAACATAGAAAGTTTCATTTCTCTTCTCTTCATCATTTTATTAAAGCTTTGAGAAATATGCTAATGAAATATAATTTTATATTATGGGATAAAACTATTACATGGGATTACATAATTAAATTTTATACTGAAGAAAAAAGTATCCAGTTCGTGGGGCTCTAAAACTAACAGATTCTCATGTCTCTCCCACTAGCTTCGAGAAAATGTAAGTTAAATTTGCAACCCAGTTATTCAGTGCCACCGTTTCGACAGCCTTAAAAATGTATACCACAAAATCTTCTATAATATCCTTAAATTTCGTTTTTATATGAGCGCACGCCTATGGTTAAAGAACGAAATTGGCTCCGCACTTCGTTTCGAGGTCACCGAGAACTTTGTGAATTTATGAATGAAAGTAGTGGGAGTGGACTTACTGATTGATTCTTACTGTGCTTCAGAGGAAGTTAATCAAAAATGGGATTACGACAAACAGTTTTAAAGAGAATAAACGAGTGCAGAATGTTATTACCTGGAACTCCAGTTGTTCTTCATTTATGACGTAAATATTCCACTTGTAATTCCTCGATGCGTTGGGAGGCATCTCGATCAGACTATGACCGAAGGTTTTATACAGGGTCTTCGTCGTCGGCGCGCTCATAAGTTCCGTCTTCACTTCGAAACACTGTTTCACGTCCAACCAATTTTCGACCGCGAGGTTTTCGGTGTGGTTTTGTTTACATTTGACTTCAATCTCCATTTTGGTTATAGGTAGTGGAGGTAATGCTTTCCCGACTAAATTGTAAATGATGGCTTGACCGTCAGGGAGAGGTAAAAACAAGGTAGCCTGAAAATATATAAGAAACAGCTCGTTTTGATCATGAAATTTTGAATATAGGGTGGGTCAGTGTTTTCAATTTGCTCATTTTCGTGAATACACTTTCAGTATCTGTTGGATATTTTGTTACACAGAGTGTTTCCTAACTACTGTACGAAACTTCGGAGGTGATTCATTAGTTCGTTTCAAGACAAATGTCTGGAGTTGCTTCGTTTCTGGTATTTATGAAATACCACGAATATCCTTACGCCGATTAGGTTTAAATTTGCTACAGTTATTTGAAGTAATGAATTTTGTCCAGTGGTGTCTCAGTGGGCACTACAGCCAACAGTATTGAGAATAAAAGAGCGCCACCGACTTTTTGTTTTTTTTTTGTTTTTTAGATCAAGCAACTGAAGATACAACGTTTCGTTGCGTGTGTTTTCTTCATATCAAGCTTCGTTTTCGATAAAAAAAAAATCACTTCTAAAAGCTATGCATGGACAACAAAAAATAAAAACCAAAAGTAAATAATAAAAAACACCTTAAAGTAAATGAGCAAAATGAGCCTTCAGATGACCCCACAAATATAAATCTAGAGGGTTCACATCAGGACTGCGCGCTGGCCAATTTTGTGGTTCTGCACGTCCAATCCAACGATTGCTGACGAGCAAGAACACTAAAATGAGCTGGAGCCCCGACGTGCATAAACCACATGTTACCTCTCATAAGTACCGGCAATTCTTTTAATATATTGGGTGAATGATCTCGCAAAAGTCCTGTTAACCTCGTTGGTAGAAAAAATGGGCCAATAAGGTAGTCACCAATCATTCCTAATCAAACGTTTAGCGAAAATTGTTGCTGAAAATTACTTTCTTTAATAACATGAGGATTTTCGTCGGCCCAAAAGTGGTCATTGTGAAAGTTCGTGATAGTGTAACAAATCTGAAGCTGCCACTGACCGATATTTCAGCCAACGAATAAATACATGACTCTCCGCGAAAGAATGCAGTCTGAACCCGCCGCGAAAAATCTAGGCGACTATCGAACAGACTACAGAATTCTACGATGGACCTTTACCGATATAAAAGGACAGCTTCTCGTCCAGAAGGGGTAGTGGAATTCAGAAAGCGAATCGAGCGGTTAAACAAATAATTCAAATAGTGAAGTTAAATTAAGTGTTGAATATAAATTAGTTTGTGATAGTGAAATCTTGGTAGAAATAAATTTGTTTAAGACAGTAAATTCTTTAATTCGTTACAATAGCGTCTCGGGAAAAATTTGCTTTGTCCGTGAATAAAATATTTGGTAAAAAATTATTATTGTGTGCCATCGTATGAATCAATCACCTGCAAAACATTAATCTTGGGTGAAAATCCCGAGACAGTAGAACTTGGACCCGCTATATGTGCTTCTTTTTAGAACTGTCTATATGGATTTTGGACTGACTTCAAGGTGCGGTATAATCTTCCTGATACTATTTGAAGGATCTTCTTCTACAACAACAAGTCGAAGGCGTACTTTTTTTTACAGTATTGTTGGCTGTCGCCCCCTCTGAGACTCCACTGGATCTAGTAATTTCAATGTAGTTAAGCACCTTATCACTTTAAATAATTGCAGCAAAATTTCAACCAAATCGGTGTAAGTAATTGTGATATTTCATAAATACCGTTTTCAACGCTCTGTATCTCAGAAATGAAGCAACCCCGGACATTTGTTAATAACAACTTTCTTGTCAGAACGACCTAACGAATTACCCTCTGAAGTTTCTTACCGTAGTTAGGAAACACCCTGTATATTATGTCATCAACTTTTATTTTATCATTACCTCATCTGGTTGGATTCCGAACATCTGTTTGGGCTTGTACTGTATTACAACAATGGAACAAGATTCAGGTTGAACAATTATTTCAGTAGGAACCACAAATGATTTATTTGGAACAGCAGGTGTCAATGACCATAGGTTATTCGTGCTGAAACATGTTTGAACGAATTAAATCATTTTGCAAGTAATACTTTATTTTTGGTAAAACTAAGAACCAGTAAATCACCTGTATAAGAAAAAATTGTGGGGGATTAACTCTTCTTTACCTTTCTACTTTTTTACCAGATACTGTTATGTGAGACGGTTATCTCACATTTTGTACTTTTATGCGGCTTTCCTCAAGGTATTATAAATTTCAAAATAATTGAAGTGATAGAAAGCAATGAAAATTTCATCAAAAATAAGTTTGTAGAGAACCGCAGGGATCTATAATAGGACCTTCACTCTTTCTCATTTATATAAATTCCATTTCTAAATTACAGCTTTCTGGAAAATTTGTTCTATTTGCGGAAGATACAACTTTGATGTATTTCAATGAAGATTGAAAAAAATTACAAGATACTCACTCACCTATTTATTATTATAATTTGTCCTGAAGTAGTTGTTCTTACAGGGCAGGTGAATTCCACTGTACTCACAGGCTGAGGCAAGTCTGCAGCACTGCCTACTAATTGTAAATGCAAATGTATAGATCCGTTCACAACACATTTGACCTGCAAACAATGTATGTGTCCAAGTTATTGGAATATTAATAATCAAAGATTTTTGAGTCATGTAATGTCAAAATGAGTTTATGTAATATATCTACACTTTCATGAATTCCAAAGTCTTTGCAAAGAAGAACTTTCTTAGTAATAATACTCTCATCTCTGTTCATACAAAATGCAAGATGCTAATTTTGAGTGATTAAAGAAAGAGTTGAAAAAGGCTTTTTATCGACTTCTTTTGGAATTTCCAACTTCAGATAAACAAAACACTTTCAAGTGTGAAAAAAAATTACGCGGGATGAACTAAAAAGTTTGCCCTTTCTACACATGTATGAAGTACCTCATTAATTTTTTTTTAGATTATGAGAGGTGAAAGGCTTTATTTTTTATCGACCTTTTTTTGTCATTCATTTCATCGTTGGTGATTAGTTGATAGATATAAACTTCGTTTTTGAGAAAATCCTAAAAATAATCAGTAGAAACCAGAAGCATTAAGTCTAGTCAGTGAGGTGGCCAATGATGGCCCTTATCTGTCAACCATCATTTCTGAAATATTTTTTCAGAAATGACTTCAGTTGGTATTCACTGTATCATGAGCAGAAGCACCATCCTATTGAAGTGAAGTTTTCACATTCTCGGCTTTTGGCATCCCATCCAAAACTCTTTGGAAAAACGCATACACTCTCATGGAAATGAAGGTAGAACACTCCATTATTTGATTAATATTTTTTAGGGCAAAACACGAGAACTACAGGAAAATCCTTAAGGCGCTCTAAAAGCGGTGCCTGTGCTATCTGACGTGAAATCTCCAAGAATCTTGAAACTTTCATTTCCAGTATAAGAAAAGGGTTTTCCAAAGCTCAGACGTGACTATGATGTCGATTTTTGTAAAATTCAGTATGGTCTACTATCATAGCTTCTTTGTGAAACTTATTAATTCCTTGCATTTTGATTTTTACTTATTCACCAAAGTCTATTCTCAGTAAGTCCAGTGATTTCAAAATTTGAAATAATTCATAGGAAAACAATTTCCAATTGTTTTGATGAAAATTATAATCGGAACATTAATTATGTATCTCTGTAACCAATGGTTTTAAATAAGGGGAACAATGTAAAAAATAAATGTAGAATTACTCGAAAATCATTTGAAAAAAAAATCCTACAACTTTACGAAAAATCATACTTTATACGGTTGATCCTAGGTGGCTATGGTTTTTATCCTGAGTAGGTTTACCTCACGTAACTTATTCAAGATGATATGCCTGAAAATCTTTACAGGCATATTCAAGTAACACTTCTTTGAGAGATTTTCAGTCAATAGTTCGAAAAACCGTGACACGTGTTTTAATATACATCAGCTTTTATAATATAGTAATTTGTATATTAATGCATATTGCTACATAACAAATTCCTACCTAATAAATTCAGTACATAATAAAATTTGACTATTCTACAAACAAACTCATATTAATTAAGATATTGTTACATGTTCCCCGTGGGTTCGACAATAATTGACCAAGTTGTACAGTTGGACTCAACTTTATTTCAATACTACACTGCCAATACAACACGAAAACTTCAACTGAACTTCAGATTTATAATCAATGGCCTTTGATCTATAACCTTATTAGCTCCCTTCGTACTGGACTTTTGACTAGACTAGACTCCTCTGCCTATTGGTAGAGCTTACATCTGTATCTGTAGAGTAGGGAGGGTGAGAGTAAGCCCACAGCACTTAGGCCACATGTGACTCATCGTGCATCCTCCCGAGGAGTTGTCCTCCTAGGTCATCATCCATCCTGTCCTTTCCAGGAAGGTGGACAGGATACATCTCCTTTATATCGGCAGGTGTAGGCCAAGACTCGCCGAATACACACTCTCTTATTGACGATAACTCCGGGCACTCGCACAGGACATGCCTGACAGTCTCATCTTCCTGTTCACACTTCCTGCATAGAGGTGTGTCCACTAGCCCCATATTATGGAGGTGTTTCCTTAGTTGACAGTGGCCAGTCAGAAATCCTACTGTAAGGCGTAGATTTTTCCTGGCCATCGCCAGATATTTCTTCGGCGCCAGCTTCCCAGGGTCACCCAAGGTGATCCTGGCAAGATTACATCCTTTGATTTCATCCCATCTCTTTGAGGATTGAGCATGGGTGTAACATTTGGCTGGTTCCGCAATTGTTGAAGTCATCAGGCGGTAGGTGCTACTGGGTCCTAAAATCCTTAGTCCAGCTGCTTCCTTGGCTAAAGAGTCGGCAATGCGATAACCTTCACTCCTGTCGTGCCCTTTAACCCACCTCAGGATGATGTTATTATCTAACAAGGCTTTGGCTAAATCTTGGTGAAACTCTAGTTTCACCAAGCCCTGAGGTTATACGTTGTCTGTTCAAGGCTAATAGGGTTTGTCTGCTGTCAGTGCAGATTGTTGTGTTTTTGCCAGAAATTCCTCTCCTGGTTATTTCTTTTGTGGCGATTGAGCGACCAGCCAGTTCTGTTTGGACCACGCTGGTATTTTTTCCCATTCCCCACTTAATCCTTAGGCTAAGTGATCTGGAGTACACTCCACATCCTGAGCCTCCTTTGGTTTTTGAGCCGTCTGTATATATGCGTATTGCANTTGTATTTATTTTATTTTTATCGTTGTTTTAACACATTGTAATAATTTTATAAATATATAGTATGTATTTATATATATTATATAGATAGCACGATATAGAAATTGTTAGATAGTACTGAAAAAGCCTGAAAGAGCTAGAAACACGTGTCGCGGTTTTGAATACTGTTACGAAAATTCTATAATTAAGTGTTGTTCTATCACTTTCATCATATTTCTTCACAGAAATTTTTGTTATCTATAAGAATGGGGTGGATGAAGTTGAGTACGCACTTTTTTGAAAATTTGGCATAGGGCGGCTTTAGGTTCGAAGCTAATCCAGATTTTCATTTCTGATTTCGGAGTAATGAATCCTTCGGTTGGGTATAATTTGAAATCACCTGAAGATTCCTCAAATGACCATTTGAATCTGAAAATTAGATATGTTATAATAGTAAAGGAGATTTTTTAAGTTTTTGTCTGCCTTATTAGGACTGTGATTGACAGGTTGACCAGTTCCACTTCAACCACCTTCAAGATGGTCGAGGTGAAAAGTTCAGGATAAAATTAAAAAAGCTTCCAGACAAATAATTCGTAGAATGTTGAGGAGATGTGAAATGGATATTGGATCAGTTTAAAAGTATCAACATTCTTTAGAAGAGATCAGGTTCTTTTTTCTGAAAGTATACAGGGTGTAACATATGGAATACGTCACTTGAATATTTTAACGTACTTTTATGATAGACCGTGTATTTTGGTTATAGCATACCTTCCTCTCGTGTCGCCTGTATTTTTCAATAATACGTTCAGAACACGTTTGCAGCCAATCACGACGTTAGAAAATGTCAATATCTGTTTATCTAGTGAAAATTCAGGTGCTATACAAGAACCTTTTACTATGCATAGGGGTTCTGAGTGATCTTGAACGTTGTAGTATATCTGGAAAAACACAGTATAGCAAAGCGTACCACTCATTAATAAAATCCTACGTGAAAAGAAGGCGTATTAATATATAGAGAAAAGTCGATTTTTTAAGAGATAAGGCATAAGAAAAAATAGTTCAGTTGTAATGCAAATATTTCGTTTTTGGGCTCGGAATTTATCTAGTTGCCTCTTTGCGATAAAAACTGCAGGATAGACAGAAAACAAATAAGCTTATTTTTGTAATAGATATAAAAGCTACTGACACAGAATTGTGAAAAATATTAAACGGGGTGTAGTTTTCACCTAAGTGGTTATCACATTATCAGACGAAAGGTCCATTGTTGGAAAAATATAAGAACCTATTACAGGTAGTTACAAATCTGACAAAAAGTCGTTTTGGGGAGGGCCGAATTTGAATTTGCCTTAAGTTTTTGTAGTTTTCTCTCTCTCTTTCTTTGTATGGCCGTTACTTCCCTTTCGACCGCATTTAACCAATTTCCATTTGTCAACAGTTGACAGGAATTTTCGTGGGGAAGCGCGGCAGTCTGTGCTGCCACCCCTGGTTTTTTCCAATATTTTTTGTTTATTTAAAAACATCAAGTTCGCCTCCTCCTCGAGGGACCTTTTGTTTTTTTTTTCACATACATGGCCCCCTTCACGTGGTTATTCGACCACGCCGGCCTGAATACCGGCGTGAATAAACCTAACCCTAATTTTCATCGAAAAAGCATATATAGCGATGAGGCTCATTTCTGGCTGACAAAACTGTCGAATTTGGGACCATATTTCTTTGAGGCCATCACTGTCAACGGCGAGCACTATAGGTCGGCTTAACGGAATACCCTATTTTTGTTAACACACTTTCAGTTTGAATTTTCCTATTACAGCCAATATATCTCATGAAATATTGGCTGTACCTATACAATACGAAGGTTCGAAATAGATGAACACGTCAGTCTAGCAGACCACTATTATAATCTTCATGCAGTCATTGTTCACTGTGGTTCTGGCGTTAAATTTGGTCTTTATAACCTTCTCTGACATCTCGATACGTTCGGTAGGTTTGAATTCCACAATGAATTCATATTTCTGGTGAAAACCAAGCTGAACGCAGTTGTTGGGATTAATCAGCAAATACTTTTTAGCTTTGTTCACTATCAAATTTTCAACCGTGATCTCTCTAAAAATAATGATACAATTCACATTTGAATACTATTTTCTTACACACTACCTAACCTATGAACAGAACTTTCCTTGAATTTTCTCCTCTCTTCTTTCTTGATCGTATCCTCACTTTTAGTTATCGGAGTCGTACTCCTTTTATCTGAAACCATCACAGAGCTGGCCTCCTTTTTGTGTTTCACAGATAACCTGAAAGAACTGTTTTATTTACTGAAATTGAGTGAAAAACCCTAGTACTCTTTTGGATTTGGTGGTAATTCTGGAACCCTAATTTCGGGTTCTATTTTTTCATGTTGCCTCCTGATTGGATGTTCCTCGAGTACACTTAAGTTGACGTTTACTTCGGTAGGTGTTTTGTTGATGATTTGAAGACGGTATTTTTTAGTTTGACCGAGTTTTACGGAGTCGAAATTGATGAATTTATCGTTCGGGTTGACGAGTTGTATGTTCAGCTTCACTGCTTCTCCGGTTATTTTTACTGTTCGCCTTGAAGAATCTACGAGTATGGGCACGGATAATTCGAATTTTCCAACTTTTCTAGGATGAAAGTATATCGGAATGGTCAGACGGGAATTTGGCGTCATCTTTCCTGACTTAAAATCAACCGTCAAGTCCTCGGAATTTTCATAATAATTTTCCACTCTGAAAATTTGTGGTTATCAAAATGTTCGACAATACGAAACTCAAACAAAAGACAAATTTGAAAAAAAAATCTCACACAATGGTTTTGTTTTCACAGTTCTTCAATTCTAAAATTGCCTTATGGTATTTCGATGATTCTTTCTGGACCAGACAATTACCAAAGTTATGACTTATGAATGAAAATTTACACATTGTTTCAGCAGCAAATGCGTTGAGTTTTATGATATACGTTGGTCCATAAGATATCTGGAAGAAAAAGTACATTTCCTGTCAGAGATGTGGCTGGAGTCAGGATCTTATCATTAACGGGAAATTTCCAATCAAGGCATTTGTAAAACCTTTTTCATATTCGTTAGAATTGTTTTCATTGGATAATTTTTCAGTAGTGCATTTTAACGTTATTCTCAAAATCAAGTTAAAAACACAAAAATTTAGAAACAAGCACATCATGAAATATAGAGTTTATCATCAAAGAAATGTTCTTATACAAAAGAAATGGTCACATCACAAATATAACTAGAATTATTAACAAACGAATCATGATAATAATAATTCAAGAGTCCAAACAGGGTGGGTCACTTTCAGAAGGGGTGTATTTCAGGGTGATTCCCTCAGTCCTCTCCTCCTCTGCATCTGACTATTGCCATAATCCGTTGCCTTAAGAAATACTCGAGGGTATAACTGTGGCATCCCCGGATACCGGAGGCACAAGGTCACCCATTTGTTTTATATGGATGATCTTAAACTTTATGCCTCTGGCATAAAGCTTGTACTCTTCCACCACCCCTTGAGGGTAGTGGAAGAGTATACGCATGCTATCGGTATGAAATTCGGTATATACAAATGTGCAATGGTCCATCTCAAAAGAGGACGATGCGGGACTACGGAGAGGATGTGCAGCTCGCAGATGGAAGCATCCTACACCATTTGGATGCCGGAGAGACGTATACTCACCTCGGGAAGGAACAACGATATTCACAAGAGGTAACAGCGGTGAAGAACTCTCTCCGCGGCAAGTATCCGCACAAACTTCGACAGATCTATAGAATGCGTTGAATATGGATGATCCCAGATTCCGAGAAAGGGATAAACACCCAAGGCCGACACAGCAAAATCAACGACCAACCCCACGAGTCGCCGTCAGGCGACTCAGGTAAGCATAAATTAACCATATAAACTCTGTTTCAGGTAGGTTCAACGCAGAACAATTCGATCGCGACCGCGATTCACTTTTCTTTAGATTCACTGAGGAATGCTCGACGCTAAACACAATAGCCGCCGGTTGGGGCCCCCATGCAAAAATTCAGTTAGGAATAATCACGACAAAAAATTATAACCGATCGCGAAAGAATAGCACCTAAAAGCTGACTTTCGACCAAAAGAGGTCAGATATCAATCTTGCTGAAGTGCCTATCAGTAAGTTGAGGACAGCTCGGAGAGCGGTGGATGGAGTGGAGTATTAGGTTTTCCTCGCAAATTAGTTGTGGGGCGAATCTTTTACTTCAGGGCACTCAACCCGGGAGGGGGCATGGAGGAGCCTTAGGGAAACAATTATAACAATAATGATACGTTTATTAAAGAAAAAATAATAACTATAATTCCAGGTAGAATCTACAAATAAATGATGATTACCCGCAAAGTCAATGCCTGTCCGCGGTTATGTTGCCCAGTAGTGAACTTTATTTTTGTGAAGAACACTTTGACGTCATTTTTACCTGAATGTGTAGATTATAAACCAGTATTACCATGGTCGAGGATTAAATTCAATAATAAAAAAACTTTTTTGAGGTTAGGTTTCATCTTTCGTATCTTTCACCATTGTTATGTTACCTTTTCAATGTGCACAGATTTCCTTCCCGTTTCAACTGTATGTAACATATTGCATCATTGCCATAAGATATGTTGGAGGACCTTGAATAAATAAATCAATGTGTAAGTTTGTGGTAAGAACGTAGTTTTCGAAATACCATTTTAATACCATAACCTCTAATGTTGAACTATAAATATATTTCGAAGGCTTTCGACTTTTTTATAGAAATATTATCATTGTACTTACATGAAAGTTTTAAATTTTTCTAAACTCTGCCATACGAAAGTCTTTGTTTGGTGCCAAAAACTCTCGCAGCATCAACAAGTCGCTTCTAGACACATTACCGCTGTTTGCCATTGTAAATCCTGGTTTCATGATTCACATTATTTTAATTTTGATTTGAGAATACAACAGAAGAAAAAAGTCACTGTAATCAATATCAAGTCGCAAAGAATATCAGAAAAAAATTAGCGTCGAGTATTATACAAGATGTCATATTCGTTTGTTTACTCTAACGTGACGTAATTCGCTCTGATATCATTCGTTCAAGATATCATGGCGGTCAGCCGTATTTTGTAGTTTTATTTAATCAAAATGTTATTGATCTCGCTTATGATAATACAATCTATACGTATTTTTAAATCGATTAATAGGGTTTCAATAAATAAATACATCATTTTGGTGATTTTTACTCACTGTCGTCATATCTATTAGAATACCCACTTCTAAATGTTATAGTTTTGTGTAGCATTGTCTGAAAAAGTGTTATCAGATTCAAAATTTGTATCTAACATTTCACCACTGAGATGTGTAACATTTATTTCCATTTTATATATAGTTTCATAGATTTTCTAAAAATCTCACGTTAAAAGATAAGACCTCGTTAACCTTTAGATCGCAAAAGTTTCGACTGTTTAGGATTGTCGTTCGTAAGGGCGCGACAACTATTTCCTACAGGTTTCAAATGTGCTAACACCATTTTTAGACAATGGAAGTCACTTTCAAAGACACCTACTTCTAATTTCATCTTGAAATCCTTTACACTACATTTCCTCTGAGCTACAAAGGCTAAATCACTCCTGGAACAGTCACCGCTCCTCACGAAATCCTTTAACTTTGCTGAAGAAATCTCCAAAGCATATTCAATAGATTTGCCATTGAAGTTCCAAATGTAGAAAAATCCTGTCTGTCCCGCATTTGAGATTTGAAATTTCAATTCGCGTTTGGTCCTGATGCCAATCTGGAAAATTAACAATTATCGATATTTCATAGTGACGATTTTTTTAAAAGCTAACTTTTCCAAGATCGATACGATTCTCGTTTTTCGCGTCCAAGACTACTTCATATCCTTCTTTATTGATGTAAGTAACCGATGCTATGACTTCCAAACATTTAGCGGTAACGTTGATGTTCAACGGCGATTTCATCTTCTCTATGGCACATTTGAGATTGAAATAGTGTTCACCGATTTTATCTGCATTATAAACAACCCTGGAAGAATTGTACGTTATGAGATTTATG